CCGATCCCCCAACGGGTGTGCTTACAAAATATTTGTTTTTAAGTTTTCACAACATTCTGGTAGCAACGTATGCCGGTTTACATTCCAATCCGAGTGTCGGGGTCGTTGCAGTCTACAACGGGTGACTCTGGTGCAGTATGTCACAATATTTTACACTCCGAGCGAATTGCAAATATTATTGTTCATATCACAATACATAATGTTTCTTTCGACCTTTTTTCCGAACGGTCGGACCGCCAAGCGAACATGACTTGTTCTTTGAGTTCGGAATCTGTCTACATTACATATAATTAAAGCTTTATGAAATTTGGAGAACTTATTTTGTTATCTCTTGGCTCAGGATCAAACATCTTTGTTAAAATTGATTTTTTTTTTTTTAAGTATCAAAAAATAATTATTTTTATTCGTGGTATATGGTTTAATTATTATTTTGTCCAAAAATTTATTGAAATTTTTCATTGAAATCATTTTGTTACGTAATAGAAGTAATTGATATTTTTTTAATCGTGATTACACATAGATTAACGTTTTCGTAAATAAAGTAATGAAATAAAAACTATAAAAGGTAATGAAAAACAAAGTTAAAACGAAATAAATGTCGAAAACATTTTCAAAAGAGGGGTTTTTGACGCAGAGAAGTTAGAAATATATTCGGTAAAAATGGGAAGACCGATTAGTTGAATTGTATCGCGGTAGCGTTTTACTTATTCACTCATAATAATACGCATTCGAACTATGACGTTTACAAATCATATTTTGGCGTTGTTATTTTTTTAATTTTCTGTTGATGAAATACTGACTTACAATTTCGCGCTTAAAGGGTCATATATATCTTATACAATTACGTAAAATTATTTTATAATGAAAACTTTAATCGAGTTACAAATATTATTACAATATTTTGTAGCTTGCAGATAAACATGTTTATACATATATATATATATATGTACGATGTACGCTGTGTTGAACCGACCTTCACTTCATCGCGGTTGGAATGCGACAACATCCGTGCGGTCATTATTGCTTTTAGGTGTATGCACACAAACAGTGCACGAGTAAAACACTCATTCGTCTTAGTGACCCCACACAAGGTTTGTGCTCTACACTGTACGACGAGCTCTCCTGCAGCCGTGGTGTCCTGTTTGAGGAGCGAAACGCAGCCGTACATTATATAATGAGACAAACACTTCTCGGACTCGACTGCTTGCCGACTGACTTTTTTCTTCGTTATTTTTGTGTATTCATCACCTACTCGGATTTCTTCATGCTATTTCGCGCATTTTCCGGTGCACAACTCGTGTGGTATCCAATTACTGTGAGCACGGTTAAAAAAATTCAAGCAATTCATCAAAGTGTATAATAATACACACACACACACACACACACACACACACACACACATATATATATATATATATATATATAAATATATAATACGACCACGACACGGTACTTTCTTTGCTCGGTTTCTCTTTAAGCGAGGCCCGCCCCGTTATTAAGAAGGACAAACGCACGAGTTTTTTCTTTAACAAGCGTGCGGTGTGTGTGCTGCGAAACCCACGATAATTATCCGTGTTCGGTGCAGTAGTGCACTTTATTCCGTCCGCGATGTCCAATGCAATCTAATCGTTTATACATGGAAGTCATCATCAATGATATACATACATTCGAGAAAACTGCAACGGAGACGATGCAATTCTGTTTAACACGTGGACGTGTATAGTGAATTATAAGATGATTCATTTGGCTATAAGAAACGGAAATTAAACTATATCCCATAACCCTTTTTCAAACGCATGCTAAACAGGTGCTTGACGTCGACCGCGCAGCTGTGCACTGATTTTTCAATCTTAGACTCATTTGAAAAACTTAATTAGTTGACTCGTTTTCGATATCTTGTATAAAAAAAGAGAAGAAAATTGTTGTGTTCGAAGATTTTTACTAGAATCTTCGTACAAGTTTTATGCATTGGAGGTAAAATTATTATTTTAAGGTTACTTTAATGTAAGTAAACATTTAATCTAGAAGATACGGATACACGCAAACTCATTGTATGCACCGCAATCACTTTAAATACAAAGTAAAGTTTTTCAGTTGCCATTTTTTTTCAAGTTTATACAAGCGGTCAGTAAACGCTGATTTTATACTAATTTAATATCCCCGTTTTGCGCTTGTATTAAACTATCGAAGTTTTATGCTACAAATTATAGTACAACTTGACACGAATAATAAGTAAGACGAAATTTCTATAAATATGTATTAACAATATCTAAACATGATGACTTGTGAGCTTTTTTTATTTTTTATTTAATTTTAAAATCGATTTCGTAATCATTAACGTGATTAGATGTAGTGAGATAATTTATTTTTATATAAAACAATACTACAATAATTTAAATGTTCTGGATGTCTCCGAAACGTTGACAATTTACAACACCATAAGCATTATAGTAAATTGTACATAAATTATCAACCAGCTTTTATCAGAGCCTCCACCGGTCTTTTTAAAGCACTCAACGACCGTCGACCAAGTACGATTACACTTCAGTTTTTTTTTTTATAACGATCGTAAAACAAAATTATGCATACTTTTTTACTACTGAAATGTCGAGTTAGATGGGTCTTGAAAGCTCAATGCGTACATTATTACAATATACACATACAACAAATAAAAGAAAGCGAACACGCTAAACACACACTCTTTATCGTCTGCGTATCAACTGCAATAGCGTGACCAAGGGTAAGTTTAAACGTTAGAGTTATAAGACAAATTTTTTTGTACACACAAAAAAAATCAAATTCATTAGTAATTTTTAATTTTACGTGTTACTAAATAGATGGTTTATTTAATAAATATTTGTTGTTTAGACTAATCTTATAATATCATCGCATCTTCACTGTTAATTTTTAGTAATTTTATATTTTTAATGACTGCATTCGATCTATGGCTAAGTGTGATTATTTTGTAACTTTTAACTTACCCCTTACATATGCAAATAAGATATTCAACCTACTTATCACATATACACAAAGAGCCTAAATTTTCTTAAAGGACTGACGTCTTCCTTTCTCCTTACCATTACCGAAAAAAAAAGTTAAAACTAGATTATAAATATTTTTCATATTATACAATATAAAATGACTTAATTTGTTCAGTCTTAATAACAATATTTTTATTATATATTTATTAATTAAATTTAAAAATAAACCCCTAAATCAATTTTCTTAAAAAAAATATATATACATAACATGCATAATATACATTTATATAACTCAAACCTCATTAATTAAAAAGTTTCATGCTCTAAACGTTGATCCTATAAACTCAAATGACTCTAATGATTACAACAGTCATATAAGCTCCTAAAAAAACTTATTTCCCATCTACCGTAATGTGTTACATGAAATAAATGTTTTGGAACATGCTTCTTTATCGGTCAGACATTTTGTCACATTTTTATGTAGTTAACCTATTTAAAAAATGTTTAAGAAATAAAATAATAATCATTCCGTATCAAAAAAATTAGATTTTGTATTAGTCTCAAAAAAATGTTTCATCTAAAAGATGGTGTTTAGGATCTTTTGTTGCTTAAAAATGTACGATTCTTGAATAAAATTAACTAAATACTGTAATTTATGTTTGTATTTCATATAAATTATTAATATGTGTAATATGTGTGTATTCTGTTTTTAGTCAAAATTAAACTGTGAAGTATTACACGATCCTTTAGGATACGAAGTGCGATGGGCAATAGCAGGTGACAGCATTGTAGTTCAGTTGGTGGCTAAGTTAGGTAAGAAATTGTGTCTAGTATACATTTTTAAAAATAAATGTAAGTTGTATAGAACAAAGCTATTGTGGAATTCAAATGTTATTTAATATCTTGACTAATATATATTTTATACAATATTCGAAGTTAGAATTAAAAATGTATTTAATAATGAAATATTTCATCAATAGCCATGTCGTATAAATACAATTGATCACAAAACTCCGATTCGACAGTAAAAAATGACACAATCAACAATACTGCAGTTATATATTTTTTTAATTGAATTATTATACAATACAATGGAACGAAAATATAGTGTAATACTACTTCCAACGATAGTTCAAATCACAATAAATAAATAATACGATGAAGCATTATAATACTGGACAAAAGCATTTTCAGTAAATTACTTACTTTTTGTACGTAGTTATTTTATCAACAAAGTATAAATATTCACATACTCTATAGAACTTTAATTATAATAGTATCTATCTATTCATTTATTATAAATTTCGGTATGAGTAGAAAATATGTTTGAAATTCAAATAAAACTGTTTATTGTTTTGTAGTTTATTTAATAGTATATTACGATATTATCTAATAATCTATTAAAAATCTATTAAAAAAAAAGTCAGAGAATTTTTTCACTTTAGAAATAATAATTAAAAAAAATAACCAATTTAATAAAATAAAAAATTATAAGTATTATAATAATTAAAATTATATTGACCAAGTAAATATTATTTTATTACCGTTAAAACATTATAACACAACGATGAGATTGCATATTTGACTTCTTATTAAATTAAAATAAAAATATTTTAAACTTGCATGAAATTTGGTGATTTTTTAATCCTCATAACATCTTATATCATGATACACAACACTACAGTTTCATTAAGTATGCATTACACAGAGTTAAAACTGTACGCAAACATTTATCATCACGCTTTTGAACATCAAATTGATTGTTGATCTAATATTACCTTACACAATCTTGACAGTATCACGAATTGTTATTGCTTTAATCAACAAAACATTCTTTTTCACACGTTTCCTCCCGGAGCACTATATAATCAGAGCATACGGATTTCAAACATGATTTACAAATAATATCATCATCATAAAATACAGTAAATATTTTTTCTTGTTTTCTGTGGGCAAATAAATTACTCTAAGCTAATTCGGCGCAGATATTGTATAATGTTTATTATTTATTTTCAGTATGCTTATATTGCTCACCAAACGCTTCTCACGAATTCTTACGTTTAATTATATAAAAATTTGCAAATAATAGGCACGTATATAGGTATGAATTATTGTAAGATTCAAAATAAAAAATATGTCATCATTGTGACTTTAAATTAATTTTATTAAAATGTAAATACCTGAAGAAAATATATAAAAAAAGTACACATTTCACATCCAAAAGATTATATTTATAATATTTTAATGTAACTGTGTACAATGGTTTTATTATGCAGTTGTGCGTAATATTATTATGCAAATAAAATAAACACAATAACGTCGGTTGGAATTTCATATTTCCAAATACTTTATTTCATTTCACATTAGATTTTTATAAAATGATGCGATATAAAAAATAAACATATTAACTGTTTAAAATATAATAAAACTATTTTCATCCCATGGAATATCAAAAAATATTTGTTTAAAATTAAGTTGACAATACTTTTTTCTTTGAATTATTTTTGATCCATTAGAGACAACAAACGTTTGGACATCAAACGTAAAAATGTTATAAGCAATAATACATCATCATCTCCTGTATAGATATAGCTCAAAGGACTACTGCTGTATTTTTTCATACATATTAGTACATACTAATATTTCTACTGGTATTTCCTTTTCTCCCGAACGTATAGCAACATTTTTATTCAATATTACGTTTAAATTTCCATTTTCTTTCTTCTTTTTTTCCACCGAATTTCAACATTCTCTTTTATTGTAAACAAACATTATTATTGGTTTTCAGAAGCCAACCAATACATGGCTTTTGGTATTTCCGGTTCGCCAACGACAAACCGTATGGTCGGAGGTGACGTAGTCGTTGCCGGAGTGGACCAAAGTACAATTAGTGGTTTTGCTCAGGACTATTACTTGCTGGACAAATCACAATGCATTGTACAACAAGAAACTGGACAAGTCAGTGGCAGTTGCCCCGATTCTAACATTCAGGTGAGCACCCGCGGTAACTATTTTAAGTATGAAAACACTTACATGGCCACGATTTCGTTACTCTCGAAACGCACATTGTTCGATTTGAGTAATACTAGCCGCATATTATGAAAACCATTTAGAAATCGCTGTTTGAGATTTCGCTTGGTCCAATACGATTCGGATAGATAATTAAAACATCGGTTAAATGTATATGGATACGTCAGCCGAAACGCGAATCATACGCACTACTCTGACGTCATGCTATATACATAGTTTTATGCATTCCATATCATAGTGTTATCTGTATCGAATCGAGGAGTCGGTTCGACGCAGGACGTGTGTTTTGCGGTAGTGATTTATAACACGTGAAAGTTATACGAGCAATGTGTGAATATTATTATTGTATTAATAAACCACGCGACCGGCACAGGTATGAGAACTAAACGTTTATGATATTTTCTAGGGTCCGGCCGGTGAAAGTGTTCGTTTGTTGAATGCGGCCATAGTCAACGGATACTCGATAGTCACGTACCAGAGACCATTGAAGTCCAAGGATAATCTCGACTCACCCATATTGACTAATAACAGTCAGGCGATCATATGGGCAATTGGTCCTTTGAACGACAAACACGAAGTCTCGTATCACCCAGTGTTCTCCAAAGGTATATTAATAATAGTTTAGAACGCGTATCGATGGACATGATGCTCAATGAACTTTACTGTGCGCATACTAGTTACGATGTACACTGTACGTACACAAGCTTATGTATTGATGAACATGTATACCGAATCACATATATACTCGCATTGATAAACCACGCGTCATATATGTGTACAAAAGTAGTTCTATTGTTACAAGTACACACAAAGCATAATAGACACAGTGATCACGAAACGGAGTAGCTGTATTATAGTATATACATGTATTTGATTCCGAACGAATAACATTAAATGTTTTGGTTTTACAATGATGTATATTATCTTTGTTTAAATTTTCTATTAGTTTACGAGAACCGAAAAGATTTCGAAGATATGGATTTGGCAAAATTTTTTTTTCAAAAGGTTTTTAAGTTATAAATAATATGCTAACATTAACTTTTTTTAATGAACATTTACGATTTTAAGGATATTCGATCCGAAATTCATTGTTTTTTTTTTAATTTAATTATTTTTTTTACTCCAATCATATTTGTACAAATTAATATGGCTAATACAATAAACGACTTACACTCGGTTTAATCAGTGTAATATTTATGGGGTTTTATTTTTTCTTAAAGACCGGTTTTTAAAAATTCAATTCATTTTTATACATTGTTGCTGGGAACTTAATACTTAATATATATTTTTAAATTTAATGTGGAGTTCGATATATATTCATAGAGTCTAAGGATTCCATCATCAGTTGAATTTATAGAACAGTATAAATATTTCAAAGTATAAGGCTCAAAAACACTTTTGAGTACTGTATAAAACATTACGATTTCCACGTATTTTTATAGTAATGTGAATTTTATTCTTATACTTTAGGTAATGTTTGTTTATTCTTAAGGACCGGGCTTATTTACGACTGCACATTATTCTCATCATTGGTGTAAGCTCTTATCGTTAAAAAACGTATCAAAATATAACAATACACACATTTGCTCTTTGCGTAGCTTGAATAATAATACTGCACTTACTTGTATCAGATATTATTATAAATACACAACATTACGAGTTTTCTAATCTATATGTTTTAATATTTATTTTAGAAACAATAAAAATTAATTTTGGCCGTTTACCAGAATGGAACTGTCCTATTCCAGACACCGATGCTAAATCGGTTACAGTTCATAACGATATTACAACTGTACAAAGTATACCAGACGTAACAACCAGTCAAAATTCAGTGAAAGAGGTAAAATGGGACTTAAAAAAAAATTATTTTACGATAAGCTTATCTTTTGAATAAATTTTCCAGGTAACCCCTGTTAAGAAAATCCGCCCTCGTCCGGTTCCCAAACCCGCTCCAGTGGAAAACAACGTTGCGTGGGACATCCCAGCAATACAATGTTACGAGCCAGATGATGGTGTTTTCTACGCTCAGATGGGTCCCACGGGAGGAAAACACGGTTATTCTGCTATTACAGGTCAATTTTTATTCATCGAGAATTAGTTTATCGTATAAACAAATGTTGGAGTATATACAACAACAAAAAAAATACTAAACTAAACTTATTCGTGAATTATAAGCCAATAACGTTTTATCGTTTCGCTTTTATCTTGTATTATAGGTCACGTCGGTTGGGGCATTTCTTGGTATATTAACGGACTACTTATACCGGAAATAAATGTCGTTAGAGGACAAACGTACACGTTTGTCGTCGAAGGAGGATTGGATCCAGAAATACCAGCGAAATACCACCCATTTTATATCACTGACGATCCTGTTGGTGGTTACGGTTACAAGACGGCCGAAGAAAGAGAGGTGATTTTTAAACATAAATATATAAACACTGCGCCACGCTATGATATATTATATTCTAAATATTTATTGTAACGATCGACCGGAGACTGATTTTCGTGATTGTACTCTTTGTTTGATATCGCAGAACATCCGAGTGTTTGCCGGAGTCAGCGTTAGCAAGTCGGGAGAAGTGATCCCCACGGGAATCGGTCGCTTGTGCAATTGGACTCCGGACCCGCAACAGCCTTCGGCAGACGAATTCGTCTCCTTCGGCGCTTACCAGAGGACGTTGAGCTTAGCCTGCGACAACGGGGATCCCGGAATAGTGCAATGGACCCCAGACGCGGATACACCAGACACGGTCTACTATCAGGTAACAATGGTGTTAATACGATTAGCTCGTAAAACCGTTTGTATCATTCCGCGGATTTTTAGTGTTTCACGCACCGCCACTTGGGTTGGAAAATCAACGTATTGGACGCGTGCGATAAGGAACAGCCCGGCACCCCGGAAACGTATGCTCCAGAAGACTTGCAATCCAGGGGCAGTATCCAGTACACAACGAGGGTGAAACCGGACGTGGAAAACGATCGGTTATACGGTTCCAACAACAACAAAAACATGCTGATCGACCCACGAGCGGTGACCAAACATCACGATGGCAACATCGTGCTGACGGTCCCCGGCGCGCTCGAACAGCACCTGAGGAACGATTTGTACAGGTCACCACCGCCGGTTCACCGGGACCAGCAGCAATCGTTCGCGCACGACAACGGTTACCGGTTCCCGTCGTCGTCGGCCGCCTCGCAACAGAACTTCACCACCATGTACGCGTACCCCAGCACCAACTACACGTACGGCGGCAACGTGCCGTTTTACATGCCGAAAACTCATTACGGCAGTCCGCAGCCCGTCAGATCGTCCGCCTACGGCAGCAACCACGTGGCCCCGCAGCAGCAGTCGTTCGCCAATTACCGACCAATCAGGCAGCCGGCCACGCAGCATTACCATCCCTTGCAGTCTAACGGCGCCCCCGGAGGCCAAATGATGTTCGACCCCAAGCAGCCGGTCGCGGTCAAACACGGTTACCGGGTGTCCGGCAAACGGTTGCCGCACAACGGCGCCGCCCATCACTCGGTCGTGTACAAGAAACCCATTTACAAGTTCACCGGTCATCAGTCTACAGCTCCGGTCGCAATAGCCTATTATAATCCCGTGCCACCGGTACCTCACCCGATTATGTCATCCGCGTACCCCGGCCAGTTCCAACACCAACAACAGTTCGTCCACGTGCAACCGCAACAGTTCGTCCACGTGCATCCACAACAACAACAGCAGCAATTCGTCCACGCGCAGCCGCAGCATCAACATCAACAGCAACCTAGCACGTCGGTTTCGCAGTCGGTCTCGGTGTCGTACTCTTCGTCCAAACACCAAAATCACCAAGGCGGCGGTGGTGGAAGTGGCTACTCGCAGCCGATCCAGAGCAGACAAGAACATCAGTTACAGGGAGGTTTTGACCCCAATACCGTGGTAATCGAGAGCGGTTTCAAGCCAATCTTGCTCAACGGCGAAGACAGCGTTTTCCAAGACAGGTCCGATGGGGACGCGGACGGCTTAATCACGGAACCTACGGTCAAGTATAACGAGAGGAAAATGAGCAAAAAGTTGATATCCAGGAAACTCGCGGCGGCCAAATACGTGGGAGCTGCGAAAGAAGACAACGAACGCACCGACCGACCGGCGGTACCGGGTAGTACTGCGGCTGCGAACTACGACTACGTCACAGCGAACGTGGACCACGAAAAACGACCGACCGCGGAAAACGCCACGGAAATCGCGAAACACAATCCTGCCGAACCTGTCGTTTTATAATGACGCAAATATGTAGTGCCTAGTTATTATTATCTGTAATTTACACGTTATAATGCCATAGTATTATGCCCTCGTGTCGCGGGAGTTGTATACTTACAACTTTAATCAATTTTTGTAAAGGTAATTAAAACATTTTAATTATAATATTAACTTTATTATTATTATTATTATTATTATTATTATTATTATTTTTTTTTTTTTATAATTTTTTGCATTTGAACTATTTTTAAAAACTATTTGTTGTAAGTTTAAATCGTATAAATACATATTATAAAACATATGTATATATATATATTATTTTATTTTTGTTTGGTTGAAAACAATGTCAATAAAATCGTCCATTTTTCAAAATATGTATTTTCTTCGTAATCATAACATTTGTTGTAAGCACTATTTTTTTTCTTACAAAACAAATACTCAAGATTCAAAATTTACTTACTAAAATTCGATACTTTTTGAACATTTACATATTAACAAAAATTAATTATACACAACCAGTTGAGGGTTAAAACTAACTTTTGATAACTTCAATTTTACTTCATCAAAATTATTAAATAATTTCAACTTCATAAAATTTTAACGTTACGAATTTTAAATAAAAAATATTTAAGTAGAAAACTCTTCGTACAGAGTGCTTTTCACATGGGCAATTATACGTGGCATTTTCTCGAACTGGGGACCCGAATCATCTTATCATTTTAATTTCAACAGGAAATATAAAAAAAAACATCATATACTCAGAAGTCTTATAAAATTCTTATTTTAATTCTTTTTTTTCTTCATCAACTTCAATCAAATTCTTTATCAACCATAAGTTATTTCTTTTTTATCTGTATTTATTTTTATCATTTATAACGCTAGAAAAATTTCAATTCATTTTCATTAATCGTTTTTTTATATTTACTTGCTGATCACATTAAACAATAATATTTGAATAAAAAATTAACGGAGTTCACGGGCGAAGCTGTAACGGGTCGGCTAGTTTATATATATATGATTAAAAAATGTTGAAATAATACGATTTATTTTTTTTCCAATCTGTACGACTCAAATTAATGTACAATTTAATATTTACACAACCTAAAACGATTGTTTAAGAGAGGCACGGTTCGGAACGTCGATACTCAATACTCAATAAACTGTACATGATAAATAACCATAAGTCGTGGCAGCGTGAAAAATGATAAATTGGTGAACTTCAACGCAGCTCGCTCGAACTTTGAAAGTTATAAGTCCCGGTAAAAATTTTGATTGTACCGTAGGAATTGGTGTCAAAAAAAAAAAAAAACTTTAAGAGTTGATTTAATCGAAATTTATGAGTAGTAGTACGGGCATATTAAATTATATGTGCGCAAAAATTTAATAACAAAGTCCGAATTATCATATATAAAATAATAGCTTTCCGTATGTTCTAAGGACATTATCGAGTTACTTTTAGTATGCACTACCGAATCATGTATACTCTGCGTATTGTTCTGAAAACAATCTTAACTAATAACGAAGGTGTTGTTGATATGCAAATGCTATTAGAGCGTCGAAAATGAACGCGTCCACTTTGTAAATTAAATATTTTCCCCAAAAAGTTTGCGAAAACTTAAACTAACTGCATTACGCGTTTTCTAAAAAGAACATATTCGTTCAATGTTTATTAAAACTGTCAAATTTTCCATAACTATTTCGTACGACATCAGATCCGACACAAGGAAATTATGACAAAAATTTCTTTATACCTACGATGCATAAATAAACCCCCTCCCCTCGTGACTGCTCAAAATCACACCGGTTCGATTTGCATGTGGTTTTTTTTTCGTTTCTTCATAACTTTGTGACGAAAGACGTAGGCGTGGTTATTTTTAATGAATCTTTGTAAGAAGACATTTTTCAAACTTAATTAACCCAAAAGGCCTGTCTGTACTTAAAAACTCCCGTATAAGATCACTTTCAGAGTATGGTATTATTGCCTGGTATTCGTACACAATGAGCAACATACATAGACTTGAGTTCAAAACCACTACTTAAGTTTCGTATGGTGCAGTACCATGTTGAACATCCTTCTCATTCTTATAGAATCATTAATGAACTATTCAAATTCGAACCACTGTCTGAACGTCACATAATTTCTTCGGTTTATTCAAATATTAGTTGATGGAAATATCGGCACCCCTTGTTTACCGGGACTACTCATTCGCATCCCTGGTATCACCTCAAATAAATTTTTTTTTACATACCATTTAACCGAAGTAATTTCATGAAAAACGTAAACTTTACAATGATAATAATGAATAACTGAATAACATACCAATAATTTCATCCTAAGTTACACGGATTATCTATTTTTATTTTGTTACACATAAATTTATTGTATCCTTAATACTTTGTTTTGTTTAAAATTACTTTTGTCGAGATTGTAATAAAAACATATTCGTGTTAATTATATAAAATAAAATAAAAATATATAATATAAAATGTGTGATGCTCGCTACATTTGAACGTAACGTGTACTTATTAATTATCAACATCCGGTGCAATTTTACCGAATCTTGAGAATCAATCTTACATATCTACTTGAAAAACAAATCTCCGGTTCTCTGGTAGTTTTGCTAGTCATTACTAATAAGTATATCATAATATTGTTAACATAATCATATTATACATTTTATCATTATTATTATACATTAAGTTGAATATTTTGAAAGCAAATTGAACGAGATCGTTTAATAAAAAGGATTTAGAGTCGCGATTTTGTTGACATTGTATACTATGTATACTGTTGTATCAGGTATACATTGTATACCTAATGATGAATTTTTAATTCAAAACCGCTCGTACTTTACAAATATAACAATACTCCTGGTTAAGCATTTATTTCTTTATATATTGATACAGAATCAATTATTTTTATACAGGCCTATCGTTAAATATTTTTCTGACAAAAAGCCCTAAATTATAAAGCCGCTTTTTACTAAAGACATTAGGTACAAATCGGAATTATAATATGCTGTAATCATTGACAATCACAACGTCAGCTTAGTGGAGCTAATACGATAATAATAAAGACGCATAACAGTTATTTTGGTCGTCTGTTGTCGATATTTATCTAATTTTATCGCTTCAATTTCTTTAAAATGTATGATTTAACCTAGAGATAAGCCTATTTTTACAGTAATTGTGTGCAGTGTTTTTCACAAAGCATTTTATCTACAGTAACGTAGCCAGGGTTTACCGATGGGACGCTCAGTTAGACGATTATACATTATACATTTTTAATATATTATTCGGAGGTATATTTTTCGAGAATCTCGGCCTTGCTAATAATTTATGAATATTTATGAATAATTTTCTTTACCGTCGACCTGTTTTAATATCATAAGTTATTTTTTTTTTTTTTTTTATAAGTCAGAATTTTCTGTTTATTTATATTTGTAACAGGTACATTAATTCTGTTACTATTTTTTTTTCCATTTGTTTTTTCTCTTACTTCACTGAATTGAATATTTTTTTTCTCGTATCGTAATAATTATAAAGTCTATGTTGAGATACAGATATGTATCACGTGAAAATATCAATGAATACTTTTCAAAAAAATACACACTACTATACATGTCGTAAAATCATTAGCTTTATGAGCATTTATTGTTACCGTACCAATAATATTATATATTCTTTTGAAATGTGTAAGCAATTATAATGTACAAGCGACTTATACAATAAATCATAAGCTTGACTATTTGTTAATGAAAAGTAATTAAACTAATTCCTACAGAGCAATTTTATCTTTTACAATATCCATTGAATACGTGACGAAACGACTACTATGCAACAATGCAATCTATTGTTTGGAAATTTGTAAAAAATAAAAATAAAACCTGTCTTTGATTCACATAGTCACAATTACAAATATTAAGTACAAGTGCCTATAATACGATACTCAACAACTGTAACAACAATACAAGTCCATGAACGGAAGTAATATTTAGTGTTTATTTATACAAAGAAATATACATTCATACACACACACACACACACACACATACACATGTATGTATAACAGGGGCGTATTTACTTGTATTCCAAGTGTAAGATTGTGGAAAATTTCCGTTCTACTAAAATAATATACTCCACTAACTGAATAATCATTTATTTACCTACTATATAATATATATTAATAAAAAAAGTATGCAAAACAAATTGTATTTAAATAATTTAAACATAATTTCTTAAGTCTTAAACTATTTTTAATTAATAACAAAATTAATTTCTTCAAACTTGCCACTGTGGGAACGTGCTATAGTACCTGTATATAAATACACCACTATATATATATATGTACAGTATAATTGGTTCTAAATAATATTTATAATAAATGTCTAATCAATGATTGAGTATAGTAGTAGTGTTGTAATGTGGTAAGACACTTTTGAAAACACTCGTGTACCTTCAGTGCTCGAATTACATTACTTAAATTACAATTTATAATTAAACTACTCAATGATATGTTATGAAATATACAATGATACAGACTATATAGGGTATATTTGAAGTATCAAGGGAGTGAAATTGACAGGACAAGTATTGATTAAAAAAACAAAAATAAAAATAAATAGTTCATAAGTGATCTTAGATCATTAATATTTACAAAATAATTTCTCATCATTTCGGAATACGTATTTTCCACCAATAAATTATAGAGTTATCTGTTTGCACGAAAACCCTTCAATTATAATATTTCACTAGAAACATATAACGCTAAAAACGTGATGATTGTTTATATCTCGCATATGAAATACGTTGACGCGTGGAAGACTCATCGGTAAATTTTTCTTTTTTAAGTTTTGTTTATTCGATAGAGGAAATCCTGTAAACGCGAAGAAAAAGTAAGCTTACGAAAGTACAAGTGTACTGTAGGAGATAACTGTTCCCCTTTCGCTTTAAACGTCTGTTAGGATTATCGGGAATGTTTGCAGTATTGGCGGTAAGATAAAACTTTAGAGATAATAAAATTGTTCGTTAAATCCAGTCTACCAAAGTAAACCATCAGACACACATAATTTAACATACAGGGAATCTTAAATATAATATATAGAATATAAAATCTTTACCAATTCAATAATATTTATATTTACTTCTTGATATCGAATTTCTT